CTCGCCGCGGACACAGAAGCCCAGAGGCAGGTGTGGGGGCTCACAGACGCAGGGTGACTCCACCGTTCGCGGGGCCTCCACCGCGGTGGAAGAATTCTGACCAATGTGGGAGCTCGTGGCTGCTCGGCAATGAGAGCCAGGCTCAAAGACGCTGCTGGCTGGTCTCGGAGGCGGAGGACGAGGACGGGTGAGGTGGTTCCGAAGGTGGAGACTAGAACAAAGGCTGGAGGGGGTGGGAGGCTGGAAAAGGGGGCGTCCCTGGGTCCTGGGCGCCCTAACCCCGTTGAAGCGAGAGGCAGATCGGAGGCACTGCGGAGGACTCTGCCCCAAGAAATTTTTGAAAGCTCTAAAAATATGCAAATACCCTACAGGAGGACTGATCGCGGTGTGACTCGTCTTCTTGGTGGACAACGGCTTCCAGCTCAGGCGCCTGGCTCATCCCTGTAACGGTTATGTAGTAGCTCACAGACCGAGCATAGCAGGGTTCTTTCGCTCTCCGGGTGACTTTTAGGTGCTGCCCTTTTTTTTCCTTGTTTCCAGTACCGCGGGTAACGAGGCGAGGGTGAACACCGTTGTGCATGCGGCCTGTAGGAGGCGTTCGCCTGAGGCGCATGCGCAGAAATGAAATCGCGTCGCCGAACACCAGGAAACTGCCTGCCGGACAGTCGGTGTCAGTTTGCAGTTCCTGCAGCAGCGCGAGGTCCGGTTTCTGCTCGTCGGCGCCGAGCCTGGGTGTTAGGAGGCGCCGTGTTTCCCCAGCTGCTGGCGTTAAAATTGCACCGCGCTGTGGTTGTAGCGGGCTGCTCTCTGGCTGCTAGAAACGCTCCGCGTCTTCGCGTGCATTCCAACGCCCCCTAGGGTTTCTTTCTCCTTCCAGGTTAGGAAGCCCAGGTCCTGGCACTTCTCTGTCTGACTGATTTGTGGGCAGTTTGGATGCGAATAGTTGGCCAGGAACGCATCCATTTTCCCATCCGTGCGCCTGTTTCTTCCGCTTTGTTTACTGTGTCTTTTAAAATGTCCTGCTGTATTTATTAATGTTTTTTCATTCTTGGATGCCGTCTTTGGATCCTGTTTAAGAATTCTCCCCTGATGCTAATAACACAACGGTATCCTGCCACGCACGTTCTTCTAAATATTTGAAAAGACGGCTTCACTTCGGCCCGAGGCCTGTCACCGCCCCGGAATTCGTTTCTGTGTGCGGTGTCAGGGAGAGAGCGGATTTCCATCTTTCCTCGGGGGATAGCAGGGCGTCCTGGCGCCGCTGGGTGTGTGGTCTGTTGTTTTTCTGGGGCTCTGTCGCCTGTGCTCAGAAATGCACCCCCCCCCCGTCTCCGTGCGTCTGTTCCTGGGCCCCTGTTCTCTGCCCCTGGGTTCTTGAGCCCCCTCCGTGGATACTCCAGCGCCGTGATTTCTGGAATGACAGAACAAGTCCCGATGCCCGCTGGGAGATCCCCTCCCCCACGTCTTCTTTTTCACAATTCACCGATCTTTTATACTTTTCTATAAATTTTAGGCTCCGCATATCAGGACTCATCCCGCTGGGATGTCCCCTGGATGTACTGAATTTGTGTTCTTTTGAGACTCATAAACATAGCCTGTCTTTTTATTTATAGAGGGCCTTTTTTATGTCCTTTATTAAAGTTTTCTAATAATTTGCTCTATAAAGTTGGTACACATCATTTCTCATATTTATTTCCAGGTACCTTGTAGTTTGTGCTGCTATTATAAACGAGACTGGTTTTTAAATCGCTTTTGTAATTAACCTTTGATGTTTTCTGTGAATGCTAATCAGTTTAATTTTTACTTATTAAATATGGACTAAATAATACATATATTTTCCTAAAGACTGGCAAAGTAGTGAACCATCATCCAGTTTAAGGAAGAACCATGCTACTATTTTTCAAGTGCTCTAAATTGCCCACCTCCAACTATCTTCTTCCTCCGCTCCTGGGGGGGGGGGGTTATCTTCTGTCCTGAGCATTGTTTTAAGCACTTCCTTGAATATATATATATATGAATTCATATATATAAATCCTCACACAGGGGTATGTTTTTATTGATTTTAGAGGGAGAGGAAGGGGTGGGGAGAGAAAGGGAAAGAAACATCAATGTGAGAAACACCAGGAATCGAACCTGCAACCTTTTGGTGTACGGGACAATGCTCCAACCAGCTGAGCCACCTGGCCAGGCACCCCCAAGATATATTTTACACTTTGCCTGTTTTTTTTTTCCTTTACAGAAACGGGGTGGTTCCGAATGTCTTCTGCCCCTCCGTGTTAGGCACCGAGGTTCGGCCGCGGGACTCGCTGTGGGAACCCTGCAGTGCGTTTGTCCGCTCTGTCGCCGGCGGACTTGCGGGCCGTTCACGGTGACGTGCTGCCATGGAAACTTCCCGCCTCGGACGCCCGGCGATGTGCGCGCTGGGCTCCCAGCGCAGGCATGTCTCCGGGCTACGTTCTAGGGCTGGCACGGCTGGGTCACGGGGTGTAAACCCCTTGAGACTTCCAGGGTAACGCCACACCCTGGCCCAAGTTTTCACGCCGCCAGCGGCATTACGTCAGGCACTCCGGGTCCCCACTAAGGATGGATATCGTCACACTGGCAACTGTTGGGCGTGTTTACGGTACAGAAGGGTGTTTCACTGGGGCTTCACTCTTAAACCTAGAGGTGGAGACAACCTGTCCGAATCCGCCCGCTCCCCAAGGTCGGCGTGAGAACTGAAGTCAGCAAGGGGGGAAATGGACTTGAGAAGAGTTGGGAAATTGCACCGCTCTCCACATACTTGAGATGTTATCACCACTGATAAATTCAGCACGTCTTGGAGTTTCAGGACGTGATGTCAGGGCTCAGCTCCCGGCCTGGCCCTGCCCTGCTGGAGCGGATCGGTTTCCAGACAAGGCAGGGCTGCAGAATGCTGGGCCGGGGGAGGGCGCCCCCGGTGGCTGTGACAGCCGCTGCGGCCTGAGCCATCGTCTGAGTGAGGCACATCTTCGGAGTTCACGGACCCGGGTTGGGGCTGCGGCCCCAGGACCGGGAGAAAGTGAAGTAAAACGCAGCAACTCCAGAGCACACCTCCTTATCTTCGTGGGACAGCCAGAAAATTCCTGAAAAAAGATGTCGGGCTGCCTTTTGGCAACGTGACTGCATGTGTTTTAAAAGTGCATGTCTGGCGTCCGGATAATTCCCGGGACACCCCCGGCATGAAGGAATGTACATGGCTGTGACGGCTGCCTGGGCCGCTTTCTGCAGAACTGTGCGCCGTTTCTCTGTGTTTCCCTCCTCCTCCTCCTCCGACACTGCCTCGATCCCAGGGCACTCCCCTGCTCCGTCCCGGGAGCTCTGGATCCGGCCGCCTGCAGCCCTGGACGCTGGGCAAATGCAGGCGGCGCTCCCGCACTGTCAGCCCTTTCGCAGATCAGCGAGGCTTGTGCCGTGAGGGTTTTGGCTGAGTGCTGCTGCTCACTCGGTTTAAACCACCCACCACCGGGAGCAGAGGTGTCAGGCCGACCCGATTTCTGCGGTCGGTGCTGCAGGCCAGCCGCACTGACGACAGAGCTTTCAGATGTACTCGGGAAGCAAAGCTCGGGGCTTTGTGCGGCCCCTGCTACTGGCTGCGGCCCAGCCGGTCGTGTTTTACGGTCAGAGCGCCGGAACAATGCACACCCACAAGATGTGCACGTGTGTGTGTGTGTGTGTGTGTGTGTGTGTGTGTGAGTTACTGAGGCTTTGATGTTGACCAAACCAGCAAGAATCAGCAGTCCCTGGACACAGGCAGCAGGCCTCTGACGCTCCCAGGAGAGGCCGTGGGCAAACAGTGGGCACTTTATGAAAGAGGGGCGCAGGCCACCTGGGACTGCATGACCTTAACTGCTGACGTTTGGGGTCTTCCCAGTACGCCGTGTCCGGGATCCACAAACACCCACAATACAGGGACCGACCACCTCCTGGGGTCGGGCACGGCGCCAGGTGCAGGCACGAAGGTGTGGTCCCTGCCTTCCTGGGCTTCCCGTCACGTGTGGGAGACACACTGGGCGAGCAAACGATCACGTGGCCTGGTGGCCACGTGCTGTGCGTCAGGGGTGCTTTGCAGAGACTGACGGGGTGGGGGGGTGCACTAGGAATCTCAGACCAAGGTGTGCGGGGACATCTCGTCCAGGGTGGAAGCCACGGGGAGCCGGTCAGGAGGCGGGTGTTGGGAATCGTGTCCAGGGAGCCCAGCACGGCGATGCTGCGGCTGAGGCTTCTGCACAGAAGATGGAACCCAACTCGGCTTCCCCATAAATCATCTGAGAGGCCGGAAAAGCGTGCCCCGTACGCACAGAAGGGGAGGAAAAGACACAAAACACAGGTGGTCACCCGTGACGAATTTCCGGCAACCCCGTCACTCAGAGGAGGTGTTCTTGTAGGTTTCCTGAATTACGTAAACAAGCTGCTTCGGCTGCAGAGACCCAGTGCGGGGCCCCTGGGGAAAGCATGGGCATCAGCGCCCTCCAGTTCAACCCACTTACCGGCCGCGGCCTTCAGCCAAGTCACCTAATAGCGCACGTGAGCCTCACTCTGCTGCGATGCCCGTCCCCGGCTCCGTTACGAGGACTCAGCGGACGGGTGTCTGCAGGGAGCACCAGGGACCACATCGCCTGTCGCTACCACGCCGAGTCCAGCACGTCCCCAGGCCCAAACCAGAGCGTCCCCCAGTGCCGGAAGGACAGACACTCGCGCAGGGGGGCGGACGCAGACCCAGAAACGCCGGCACCCAGTACAAAAGGGGAGGAAGGGTGCACCCTACTAAGAGCGGCGCCTTGCAGAAAGCGGGTGAGCACCCACCTCGCCCAAGAACAACAGGACACGGGTTTCTCGCCATAATGGTCGTCTTTATTTGCTTTTCACCACCTTCCAATGAAAGGGCGCCGTGTAATTACGAGCCATGTGAATACGTCTTATAGGCAACAGTGTTTCCTTAAACATGAAAGGCAGCTCTAGGGAAGCTTGTGGTGGGAGAGGGCAGGACACAGAAGTTGGGTTACATGTAAGTGTGTCCTGTCGGGAAAGGACAGCGGTGCGGCCGCTGCATGTGGAGGGCGCTCTGCACACGGCTTTGCTTGCTCCCTAGCTTGCATTGTCCAGACGCGAGGAGCCGGTGTGCGCTCTTCTCAGTGGTCGGCTCGGCCTGCCGGCTCTGTGCGCCTAAGCGTCCTGGCGAGGCCAGCCCGGGGGGGAGGAAGCAAGGCCTCTGTGCTCAAGGGGAGTCCCGGGGTCGGGGTGCAAGCCCTGCTTCCCAGAAGGTGGGGAGACATGTGACAGTTGGCGATGCTACAGTAAACAGGGAGACCCGAGGGGGCCGTGGCTGTGGCCCGTTGCGCTGGGCCGCCCCCACGTCATCCCGTCCCCTCGGGTCCTGGCTCCGGGCTGGGCCGCCTTAGCCATGGTGGTCGGGCAGGGCTGTGGTCGCCGGCATCGGGTACTCCAAGGCGCCGCAGTCGTCGGTCAGGAACACCAGGTCCTGGAAAAGGGGTGCCGCGAGCGAGCTGTCACCGGGGGCGGCTGCAGGGCCGGGACACCGACGCCAGACTCCTGGCCGCCCTCGAAGACTGTCCCTTGGGGTGACAACTGCCCATCCCTTCCTCTCCCGAGGAGAGCTGGTCACGTCTGCACGTTCCCACAGAGTCTCCGGTGTTCTTTTTGCTTACTGAGTTCACTCATACGTCGGTTGAACGGAGGGACAGATGGGGAGGGAGGGGAGGAATGAATGAATGACCCTTAATTACTGAGCGAGACGACTCTGGGCCGGGCCGGGGGGATACCGAGGAGAAGGGCCAGAGCTCACCTGCAAAGGCTTTACAGCCAGAACCCCGCCCCCAGACTGTATTATTTGTGTCTTCTTCCTGTCTCCGCTGCCCCCCACCCCCACCCCACAGACCATGGGGAGCAGCAGGGAAGGAGGGGGGAAGTGGGTGTGGGGAGCAAATGCCTGACACGCCTTGGACGTAGGAGCAGACGCATTATAACTTAACCGCTGACTGAACCGCTGACTGTTAAAATCGCCCGAGGACACACCCTGGGCCGGCGTGCTGCCGGGTATCCTGCGTTGGTCCCCCTCCTGGGTTCTTAGGTCCAGGGCGTAACCACTGTGCCACCCGACACACATGGTCAAGGTGCACTGTTATCCCCCCAGTGACCCCGAGGCAGTCACTGTCTGTCCCCAGCTCCCAAGCGAGGAAACTGGCTCAGGGAGGTGAGGGGACATGCAGTCGGTGAAGCAGAAAGACAAAGACCGGACCTCAGGTGTGTCCGAGGCCGAGGCCATCCACGTCTCAGCTGCTGCTGACCTCCTGCTTCTGCCTCCGGCCCCTCCTCTGCCTGCACGAGCACGCCCAGGGCCCCTGCACAAAGTCTCCTCTGACCCGGAAGGGGACGGGGAGCTCTCTCGGATCCTGTGGCCCCTGCCCCCACTATGGCCCCGCCTGGCTCCCTGCACAGTCTGGGTCACGGGGTTGGTTAGCAGTGGGCCTGGTGGTGTCCCTGCATCAGCGTGGAGCTTGAGGAGGTGAGGCACTTGTCCCGAGTCCCCAGCACTCACCGAGGGCAACCGACCGTGGTTGAGAAAGGGCTGTGTGAGCGGGAAGCGCCCCTCAAGTTTCCTCCCATCGGCCCCACCCCTCTTAGCCCTTTCGGTGGCGTGGGGTCACTCACCCTCCTGCAGAACGAGTTCATGATGGTGTAGAGTTTCCGCACCCTCTCCTTCAGGGCGTCCACCTGGGCCACTCTCCAGCACTGGGGGGTGGCCACGAAGTCCCGCAGCTTGGCCAGCACGCAGTAGTTCTGGGAGTGGGGGCAAGGGGTCTCGTGGGGGGCTCCAGGAGCCACAGGGACGGGAGCTGGGGGCTCCTGCGACCTTCATCCGAGATCTCTCCCCCCCTCCCCCCGACCTGTGCCTCCCCCAGGCAGGCAGACCCCCCTCTTACGTGTATGTCCAGGTACAGCTTGGGCAGGTACCTCACACACGGCTCCTGCGGAGAGGGACACAGCCTGAGCCGGGGCGCCGAGGGCTCCCGGCCAGCCCTCCCACAGGACCGGCCCCCAGTGCCCGGGGACGTGAGGCCGACACGCACAGGGCTTCCGTGTCCTGTGGCCACACTGCTGCAGAACCCCATGGTCAGAGTGCATTAACTATGAGCTAGGGGACTGCCTTATGCTATACATAGCCATGCCTGTAAATATATGTAAATACGTCCATACCCATAAATATACACATGAATACGCATGTATTAAAGAGCTCCGTGGCTGTAATCTAGGTGTAGCTATATATATATATATATATAATAGGCTGTGTCAACACCAAAGTGCATGTGCAGGTGGGCTTTGATACCGCTGCGTTTTACTTTGGTGCGGGACCGATGGCCAGAGACCCAGATTCTGGTCCCGCGCCACCAGTGTGGGGTTTGTGGCACCCCAACACCTTCTTTGGGATCCCCTGTGTGACCCGGGGCAGGCCTCCTCCCATGTGACTCAGTGTCCCAGTGGTGAAGTTAGAGCTAGAATGTATAATCGCTCCTCTTCCGCCCGGCCCTGCAGCTCTGAGCCCATACACCTGTTTTACGGTTTACAGTGAGGGCCCTTTCAAAGGCGTCTGCTCTGCGCACGCAGCCCCAAGGAGTCTGTGGGTGAGCCGTGGAGCAAGGTCGCGGCAGAACGCTCTTGTTACGGAAGAATGTTAGCTTACGTGAGGCCGCCACTTCGGTGTGGAAACTGCAGAGCTGCTGTGCTGTTGGCCCCCATCCTCTCATACACATGCACTCACACATGCACACACACACTCACACATACAAGCAGACACATGTGCACACACATGCTCACACCTGCACACAGACTTCCCTACTACTGCACAAACTGGAAGCGGAAATACTCCCCCCAGGGTGTCATGTCAGCAGCCACCTCTAGGGGGCAGAATTGCAAGTAATTCTTTGTCCTTTGTGCCTTTTCCAACTGTTCTACAAACTGTGTAACTTTCGTAATTAGAAAAAGGTAAACATTATTTAACTTTTAAAAGAAAACACAAAGAAATCGTTAGGGCACCATAAACTCCACATTTGAGCAACGTTACGTTGTGTTTGAAGTGTTGACAAGTGTTAAAGAGACACTTAAATGTTACCAAAGTTTTTCATGGAGTTTGGGATTCACTTTGTTTCAACTCCGCGGTCAGCAGGCCTGGGTTCTAGTCCTGGGCGGCCCTCATCTGACTGGGGCAGCGGCTGCCACTCCCGCGGCCCCCACCAGAGCAGGCCCCCCGCTGTGCCTGCTGCATCTGTGTCCCCCTTCGAACCCTCACAGCTGCCCCGAGGGAGGGCACTCAGCCGCCCCCGCTCCCGGAGCGGGACACTGAGGTCAGGGGCTGACATTTGCCCAGGTCTCGGGTCCCACAGCAGCTGCGGGTGGAGTCCCGTTCTGGGAGCCACCCCCAGAGAACCCACTGGCCAGGGAAGAGAATTCCTCAGCCAGACCCCACTGGGAGGTTTTTCCTTCCTTTTCCATGTTTCACAGCAGACCCTCTGATATTTGCTAGCAAGCTACAAGCAGAAATTGTGAAGTCTTAGATTATGTTTCTTTGTACTTAAGAGAAAGTGCAAACCATTGGTATCGTATTTAAAAGGATGGGAATAAAACAAAAATACCTTTAAGAGTAACAATGAGCAGAAAGAGCACTTTCCTTTTTTTTTTTTTTCTTGGTTCAAAGGCACGCTTCTGGGGACGGTGTCAGGCAGAGGGGACTCACCGAGGGCTCGGTGGCCTGCAGGCTCTGGAAGTCCCGGGTGATCTGCCGGCTCAGGCCCAGCATCCTGGAGTAGCAGGTCGGGGGTGCAGGCCACACGGCGGGGGGCCCGGCCAGGAGCAGCAGCAGCAGGGGCAGCAGCCAGGGCGTCATGGTGCAGAGGGTCCTCCTGCAGCCCCAGGCCGGCTGCCCCTTTAAGCGGCTGCTTGGGGGTGGTCCTCCACGCCTCCATTTCCTGTGGGGCCCAGCCAGGCCGTAGAGCACGCCCACCTGGACACTGGATCCTTTCAGACCCTTGGTGAGAGGAGGGGCTGCCTGGGGTGGGGGGGTGCTGGGCGCCTGGAGGGCAAGCAGGGCGGTGCCCTGTGCACTTCCAACACAAGCTTCTCCCCGGTCAGGGGCTCTGCCTGCAGGGGCAGGACCCACAGAGGAGGGCGGTGGAGGACAAGAGGGAGACCAAGACGGATGAGAGACAGCCGAGGCCAGGGGTGGGCGGCCAGTCCCCTCAGACTGGGGACCGGTTATAAAGCTGGCCGATCTCCTCCAGTAGAGGCAGGGGGGTGGGGAGGGAAAGGACCAGCAGTGATGGGTTGAGCACCAGTGGACGGGGCTTGGGGTCATGCAGCTGGGTATCCACGTCCACCCCCCACTGACCAGCCGTGTCTGGGCGTCTGGAAGGCAGGCTGGCGCTGGCACCCACGGCGGGGGGTTGGGTGAGCGTTCCCCCAGCTGGCCCACGCCAGGCTCCCGGCCCAGGCCCCGCACGGAGCAGACCCACAGGCCAGGCCAGCAGCTCCCCAGACGCGCCGCTCTGTTACAGGGTGCCCTGCAGGCCGCTCTCCCACGACGGGCACAATAAGTGGTCTCCCTAGATGCTCGGTGGGACACACAGTTACTCCCCTCTGGCGTGGACCTTGGGCAGGTTTCTTTCTTCTTTTTTTTTTAAGATTTTATTTATTTATTTTTAGAGAGGGAAGGGAGGGAGAAAAAGAGAGAGAGAGAGAAACATCAATGTGCGGTTGCTGGGGGTCATGGCCTGCAACCCAGGCATGTGCCCTGACTGGGAATCGAACCTGCGATGCTTTGGTTCGCAGCCCGAGCTCAATCCACTGAGCTACACCAGCCAGGGCTTGGGGCAGGTTTCCTAACGCTTCCCTCCCTCTCCCTGTCGGTGACGTGGGAGGATGGGGGCCCCTGGCTCCGAATTCTCGGCGAGGAATACAAGGCTCTGAGCTGATGCCGCTGGGCGAACTGACGTCAGAGCTGAGGTCACCATCTCCGGTCCTCCGGCCGTCCCTGCACCACGGGGGGCCGGGTCTGCATGGGCCCTCCTGTCTGCGCAGGGGGAGGGACTCGCCTGCCTCTGCCGCAGGTGGGCCCTGCGGCTGGAGAGGAGTGTGGGCCCGGGGGCTGCCGAGACCGTGGGGCTCGCAGGGAGAAGGAGCTGCCGTGACAAGAGAGGAAGGTTCCCACTTTACACCAGGTGCCACTGCTTGGGGGTGACACCTGGCACAGGTACCCATGCGTCACTCAGGCACAGCCAACGTCTGAGCCCCCAGAAAGCCAGTGGAGCGGTGGGGTGCTTCCCGTTTCACACAGCGTGAGAGCGAGGGTCGGGGCACAGGAAGCTCCCTGAGACCGCAAGGCCAAGGAGGAGGCGGAGGAAGTCCGGGACCTGGGTCTGCCTGTCTCCGCAGCCTCGGCCGCTGCGGGAGGGGCAGGATGGGGCCTGGGCTGGCCGCACACCCCAGGACAAACAGCCAAAGGTGGGGACCAGCGGGGTGAGTGGAAGGACCGCGGTGGCCGGGCACGGCGTGGCTCTGGGTCTGCCGCAGGGGTGGAGCCCTGGCTGCTGCCACTGCCCCTGCCCCGTGGGCCTGGCCCCGGGACCTCTCCCTGTCCACAAACGGTGGTGTCACCCGGACCATGCCAGTGGTCCCCTCCAGCCCCGCCGCTCCGTTTATCTGGTTTTCTGGTGTTGTGGCCCTGGGCAGGGATCGCGGTCACACCTCCCTGTTTTGCAGGTGTGTGTTCTCTATGCACCGTTAGCGAGGTGACCTGGGGACCGTCTCCTGGGCACCCTCTCGGACGGGGCAGAACGGGAGGGACAAGCGGTGAACACGGAGGTTCTTTCTGGATGAAGGAGTCCCCTCACTCCCTCTGTGGGGGAGCCTGGGGCGTCACCCAGCCAGGGCCCCCAGGTCCCCCGGGAGATGCACCGGGGCCCCTGGACGTGCTCGTGGGGAGAGGGTCACACTGGGGACAGGGAAGGAAAACAGGCCCCAGCACCCAAACAAGCCCCTGGACCGGTCAGATCCGGGACCCAGGGACGCCTTTGACCTTGAGCGAATGTGTCTCCGAGAGATCTGACCTCGTCCCACTCAGGACACCGCGAGTGGGTGTCCGTGGGCTCCCTGGGCAAACCAGAGCACCAGACACAGAGCTGAGGGGATTCTGTCGTCTCCCTCACCTGCCCAGGCTCCTTTCCTCTCAGTTCATCAGCACCCAGCACCCAGCCGGGCAGAGCGGATGCCCGGAAGGCTTTGTTATTTAATCAACCCTGTGGCCGTTAATCTTGTTACCCAGAGCCAGGCGCAGCCACTGAAAACCCACAGGATGCAGCCCGAGCCAGCCCCACACTGGCTGCCTTCCCGACCCTGCCTGGGAGCGGGCGGCTCTGGAGAACCCCTGTCTGCGCTCACAAAGGTCAACTTTGCCTCCCCCCCGACCCCACCCCTGCCCCGAACCCCCTCCCCCTTCCTCTGCCCCTGCAGGGTCAGGCTGCTCTGTTCAGGGTGTGGGTGTCAAACATCCAGGGGGAAGTCCCCACAGACTAGAGCCTTCGTCTTCTCCCAAAGGCTCTGCCACCCCCCAGGTCTGATCCGCAGCCTGGGCCCACGTGCGTGGGGCCGTGTGGGGCCGCGTGGGGCCGCCGGAAGTCCGGAGAGCCCGCCCACCAGCGCTCAGGAGCGAGCAGGGGAGCGGTTCTCAGTTCCACAGCAGCATTTTCTTCCAGTGGATCCTGTGTTCGTTCTTGGACACACGGCTACGGTTCGGAGAGTCTCCTGGATGGCCGGTGGGGACAAGCCACGCGACAGGTGGGGGTCCCGTCCTCGCAGGACAGGAAGCGGGCGACTAACTCTGGAAACGCACGGGTGCGTGCTGCGCCTGCGCCTGCGCCTGCGCCTGCGCCTGCGGGGCTCCCCCCGGGTGGGGGCGGGGCGGACAGGGGTGGGGCGGTGCTTTGCTGCCGGAGGAAGAGGCCACGAGCCACGGCATGCAGGTGCCCCTGGAAGCCAGGAGGGACGAGGACAAGGGTCCTCCCCTGGAGCCTCCAGAGGACCCGGCCCTGCCCGCACCTTGACTTCAGCCCAAGGCGGCTCGTGGACATCCGGCCTCCTGGAGGACAAGACAGAACAAATGTTTATTGCTTTAAGCTGCCCAGTTTCTGGTGATTCGTCGCCGCTGCTTTAGCGCACTAATGCCCCCCTCTCTGGGGCTCCGAAGAACGACAGGGATTGAGGCTGCGAGGAACTGGGCGGTGAGCCGCGTGGACCCACCTGGTGCCCGTGCTCCCTGACAGCCCCACCCCGTCCAGCGCTCACCGGAGTCTGCTCACGTGCACCAGGGCCATTGTCCCCCAAGGCCGCCCTCCGGACTCCGGCAGCCCTGACTCCCACAGATGCGTCCCAAGGGGGAGGTGGGATGCGGCGACCACTCCTCCCCAGCCGTGGCCTAAGCCCTCTTCCACAGGACAGGTCCGTGGGGACGCCAAAAGACCACTGTCATTCCTCACCCTGCCCCCCCCAGCCGCCCCGCCCACCCCCTGGGTGAAACAGGCTCTGCTGTCTTTCAGGCCACACGTCCCCGTTTCCTGCACCTCCTTCCACACACGGGAAGTGGCTTCAGGACCCTGTCCCATGGGGTCGAGTCCCATGTAACGCCTCCCTGCCTGGGGTGCCGTCCCCTCCCAGTGCCCAGTCTGGGAGCCTCAGAGGTCCACCGGGCCACCTCGGGTCCTTCCCTGCTTCCCTGCGGCCCGTGGCACAGCCCGAGGTTTGCGGCTGGGTCCCCACCGGGGGCTCCGCTCTCAGCCGTCTCGCGCCGTCCCGGCCTGCACTCTGACCCCGGGGACCACGATGACAGCGGTGACCGCTGGCTCTGGAAGTGCCGCCTTGCTCTGAGCCTGTGCAAGTATTAGCACGTCGACTCTATGACCGTCATTTCAGGGCAACGAGGTTCAGTGACTTGCTCCACAGCAACCCGAAGGGTCCGTAGTGACCACCCAAGTGGCCTTGACTTTCACACAGGCTGTTTTCTCTGGTTCTGCTGCTTTGGCGGAGCCCGAAGGGACATACATACCATCCGCTCCAGCTTTTTTAAAAAAAAAAATATTTTATTATTTATTTTTAGAGAGGGAAGGGAGGGAGAAAGAGAGAGAGAGAGAGAGAGAGAGAGAGAAACATCAATGTGCGGTTGCTGGGCGCTGTGGCCTGCAACCCAGGCATGTGCCCTGGCTGGGAATCGAACCTGCAATGCTTTGGTTCACAGCCCGCACTCAATCCACTGAGCTATGCCAGCCAGGGCTCCTTCGTTCCATTTTAAAGCCGGGCCCCTGTGTGGCCACAAAGTGGTGGCCAGTACCGTCCAGGACACCTGCTATCTCATCCCCGTCCAGAGAGGTAACGTCTCGCCGACCCCTGGAGAGAGTCCTGAGCTCCGTGCCGGGAGGAGCAGACCCCACCCGCAGCTGTCCTGTGACCTAGTGAGCATTTCCATAGCCTGGGACTCTTCTTTAGCATTTCTAGACAAAGACCATTTACCCTGTTCTTTGTGGCGGTTCAGACTGGCAGGTTCCAACGAGTGATGCAGCCTCTGGAGAAGTACTCCCTGTTCCCAGCCCCAGGGCGTTATGGGAAATTCCCAAGCAGACCACAGGAAACAGGAACCGCTGTTTTCCCGGGCCCTGGCTACCTGGCTCAAACGCGGGATCCCACCTTTCCCGAGCGGCCCCTGTGTTCCTGTCCTGCGCGTGCTTGGCCGGCCTCAGGTCTCCTTGGTGGCCTGGTGTCCAGCCAGTAACTGTCTTTGCCAACGGCTGGGAGAGCCCAGCGGCAGCGTCTGTTCTGAGGAAAACATCCCCCCAGACAGACATAGAGTCTGAGATGCTAACGTCAGCGCCTGGCGTGGGAGGCCACCTCGGGGTCCCTGCCCGCCCGCCCGCCTGCTCTC